ACAGAAAGCACACCTTGTCACACAGATGCATCATCACAATGGTCCATTCCCAAGCTCAACGAAGTCTTTAGAACCTCCAAATGACGTACACACATGCAAATCAGAAAGGAATAGCTGAGGATAAGTGTATACCACAGTAGTTACAAGAAGATGCATTAAGAATCTTGTTGCATTAGGTTTCTGTTTTGTTCTTGATGGAGACATTCCAGAACCATCTCCCCTTAAGATGGGAAGAGTGAGCAGATCTGGTAGGTGGAGTAACTGCACCGATGCCCTTCTACTCAAACACATCCATCTTGCATTGACAGCCCTGCAGAAAATAAAGCAGGATTATGCCTGCTTAGTTGTTGGCCAGCACAAAGAGATGGTGCAGGAAGTGATGCTGGCAACTCCGTAAATATGCCCTTCTCTCTGAGTTAGTACAGTTAGAACAACCACATCTGTGGACACTTGCATAGCTGCTTTGAGGAGGAAATAGCAACACGGTCTTCTAAAAGCAAGCAGTCATGAAGAAAGCCCACCACACTCTATTCTCAAAAATATAGCTGTACTCTTCACCTCTGCAAGTCAACCATACCCTCATCAAATCTTTCTAAACATTTTCAACAAAAAGAGCTCTGGCAAGGAATATGCAGTCAAAGAGCTTCCAATATAGCTGGATCGTCTATGGAAGGAAAATCAGAGATTAATGGATCCTAGAACACACCAGTCCAGGGACTGGATAGTTTCAAAAAAAACATGTATCAATATACTTGGGGTCACATACGAAAAATGTAAGATCTTTGTGCAGAGATTTTCTCAGCAAACCCGAGTTATTTACTGCTAAAAGAATGGAGGTACAAGATCATATCATCATGACAAATGAAAAGATCCCAATTGGTTTTACTTTTGTAAATCTTGTGACAACTAATACATGAATCTTAAGACAACATTGAATTAATGCAACAGAAACTAATAGTAAGCACACAGACAAGTATCAGCATTTCTATGCACACATTCTACTAAAAAAAACCTCTCAAAATTAAGTTAATCTATTTTCATCATGTGCAAGGAAAATATGGAAAGGGAATTAAATGTATTCAAATCTCATTGCTTAAGCTTATTAAACTTCATTGGCATTCTAATGTGAAATATGCCTATCATATCAAGACGCTGCCCCACGTGATGTTTTCAGAGAACAGCAATATTTCAGCTGATATCCCTCCTGATAGCTCTGCAGGGAACACATCAAGATCGCACAGCCGCCTGGGAAGCAAACAGATGTGACACCACACAAATCAGCTCTTTCACTACAGTGGTATGACTGTCCACATTAGTGATCCTTGTCCAACTTCTGAAGATTCAAGTACAAATAAAAAAGGACTCCCAAACATGCACACGCACAAAGAAATCTTTTGAAATGCTTGAATACTTTTCTATCCATGAATAATACTGAATTATGTACATCCCAATGGAATACAAACCAAGCTCATAAACGATTACATTTGGAACACATACAAGGGTTTCCATCAGAGATATTTGCTGTAGGGTGTAACCTACTGGCACGAACAGGTACATCGTCAGTAAGTGGTGACAGGTCACGTTAAAGGTTAATAAGTTAGTCATAAATATTGGTACCAAGGTGAAGACCTATAAAGAGAAATGTATTCTTAATATTAAGGTGTAAAAATGTGAATCTGAAAAACATTGAGTTACACATCCTGTAAAGACTACAGAATAAATTATTCAGGTAAAACAAAAGCTGAATCTGAACATGTATTAATAAAGAAAAACATAGCAAAATGATGTGAAATGAACGGATGGACTAGATGATCCTTTTAGATCCCTTCCAATCCCTAACATTCTGTGATTCTGTAACCAGAAAGCACTTTAACTGATTTATGTTCTCCCATACAATAGTTACTTTGTTAGACCTCTGAGTCTAAAGTTTAAACATCTACAAAGAAACGTAAAAACATTGCTTCCAAGAGTGTGTCTGTATGGCCTGTGCAGATTCATTTGGGAGAAGCTGCCAGGAACTTTTCACCCAGGAGCAGGATGACACACAAAGTCTTGGCTCCGCATTTTCGCACAGTGTTCTGAAGAAGACAACCCTCCTTGGTTAACTTCAGGAGCGTTTAGAGTTCCGCAGAGAAATGTCCATACAGAGACTGGTTTTAAATCTTTGTCCTTCTATTACACGGCTTTACAGAAAGAAATACAACCAACTACCAAAGGGAGAAAAATGCAGTTATTAAACCTCCACCTGGTTAGAGCGCAAAGTAGCCTGCCCAGCTCCTTCTGTACAAACGGAAAAGCTCCCTGGATTCGCCCCATGAAAATGTGAAAGCTGAGATCTGTCTTTTCTGAGAGTGAATGCAAGGGAGCAGCTCAGCTTGTCACTGTGGCAAATGCAGTTAGGTAAAACAGTCTGAGCAAGAGACAGAAAAGGAAGTACCCGTATTAGATCACGGCTGTAAGAAGGCTATGTTTATTCCTTTGAAGAGTCTAAATTTAGACTGCAGTAAGCATGTCCCTCAGTATTAAAAACTGTGTAAAGGGAATAAATGTGAATAGTGAAAAACAAAGTAAACCATTTTTTCCATTTTCTCCCATTCCCTTCTGTCTCCATTTTCATAAAGCAAAGGCAAAAATTTACATATGACCCATGACACTAATGCTCAGCAGGAGTCAAACGGAGATGTTATTGTACTCATCTCCATATAAATGAAAGGCTGCTGATTCTAGTATGGTTTGAAAGAACACAGAAAAAATATTTAAAAGCAGAAGTATAACAGATACTTGTTAAAACAAAGATCAGGCATCTTTCGTGACAGTAAGCATTGAAGGAATTTAGAGATGGGAACAAAGAGAAAGCCATAATACCTGGGGATCTTTATTTCTTATGAGCCTTCAGAATTTTTATTTTTAACATTTCTACACATCGTAGCAATGCTGAAGCCTTCACACAGTGCATTCTCAAATAACACTGCCCATCTGTGTCTTCATATTTGCAAACGTACAAGTTACCAAAGCCCATCATTTCTGAACCATCGTCAGCCAGAAGCATAGACAAAGGATGTATTAGTACATCTCCACCTTGAAACCTGTATGAACTCCAGATTCAAAAAGGACACAGCAACTCACAGTTCCCAATCTAGAAACAAAAGAATGCAAGGCACTCTATTTGCACAGACATATCGGTCTTAAGCAGCTCCACCTAAACTTCTTTTAAAGTACATCCTATATCCTTTAAGATAATTGAATGCGAAACAGCTCATGTGCTTCCAAAATAGTAATTTTTAAGCAGGTTGATCAAGGCTATGGAACATGTATAACTGAACAGGAAACAGTATGTTGATTCACTCACTATCTTCCTTGTACCTAGACTTGAATCTTTTTAAGGTATTATTGTGAGAGCAGTTTTCAGGGCGGGGAAGTACCTGTTTTGCCATTATATTTTGACTTGAGTTTGGCAGTGTTTTCATACAAGTTAGAGAACACGGGACAGAATGGAGCTCAGGAAACAATTGAAAAACCAGTGCCCCACAATTTTCAACCCAGTTCAATATCTGCCTATTAGTAGTTACATTTAGATGATGTTTCTTGCTTTGATGATGACGGTACTCAAGGCAGGGTCAGATGTCTTACTGGAGAAGTACTGTATCTGCTGTTTCTCTTCTATCTTCAAAGTCTACTATTCTGTTAAAGGTGGTACTAGATTGGACGGACATGATTATTCTTTTACAAATCAACGTGTTTTCTCTTACTCTCTTAAAATTGCTCACATTTCCAGAAAACTACTGGAATGCATACATAAAGCTGCTAACTGACCTATAATTTCTCAGGTCTTCCATCTTCCCCT